TTATCCAACCTCCATGTATTTGTAGCGGCTTCAAATTGACAATGCTGAATGCTCAATATCCACATTCGATTTATACCAAAAACATTACAGTATTTTAGAGCCAGTCTTTTTAACATTTTAATGATGCAGCAATAAATATAGCTTTGTCTGGTGTTTTGTTTGGGTTTGAGCATACCACAGTGTATCTGTTTCAACACGTAGTCTCTGACAGTGATCTGAGTTTGAACACATCCTTGGGAAATTCTTCTAATACTAATACTACTAAGCTTTGTCAGGTTATTAAAGCCCTTCGCGAAGTGCCGTGGGGAGATTTGGAGGTGCGGTTATTAAACTTAAGGTGCTGACTGGCAGTCATAATAGTGATTGACAAGAGTTTGTTCACATTAGACTATTACTAGGTTTTCGAGTAAATCTTAACAAATTGTCAAGTATTCTTTTTGGCATATTGTCAATTTGGCATGATATTTACGGATGTAAATTGCCGGAAAATAAACAGGTTGTCAATTTCAGTGAAATATTAAGAATCTCTCTTCAAATGTGATGACTGTACGCTCTGATTAAAGACATTATGGTAGCCTTTGCAAAAGGTGAAAGTATTAGTTATTAAATATATAGTTAATTAATGAAATAAAAAAACTTCAACCTGCAACAAGCGAACACTGACAGCAATGTGTAGCAGTGTAATTCATATTGCCATACTGTCCGCATAATTTATTTGATTTCCATCACAACAATACTTATATGAAATGAAAACAACAATGAATTAAGATACATCATTCACAAAGTGTTCAATCCGAAAGTGAAAACAGGTATGTTAAAAATACATCTAGACCACAAATACGCCGACAGCTACAATGTAAGCATGGGAAATAAAAACTGCGCATGTTATGCTAAGCAGAAGTGTAGAAAATAATATCATTGATTCATACTTAAATTATCTACTGGTTCAACATTGAAATTTGGGATTCTAATCACGAACACCACCTACTCAAAAGCTTGTCCCCACTAAGTCGCACTTTGCAAAAGTCCCCCTGGGGGGGGGGCACTGGCCTTTCAGTTTGGTAGGGGTGTGCGGCTGGGAAGTAAGACCCCTGACTCAGTCATAGATCGATCTCACCTCAAAAACCATACCCCATTGAAGACCAAATAGTGATTTTGTATATCCCATCAAAGACCAAATTGTCACCAAATTTATTCAGTAACCATTCCCCATTCCAATCCTAGACAGGCAAAGCTGATATTGAACCCACACGCAAACAAATCTATGCCTCATTTTAGACCAACCAGCTAAAAATTACAACCCCGAAAGCGGGACGTCCCCATAATGTGATTTGCATTAAGTGATCCCCGAGCGACAAGTATCCATGGGAAATCGAATGCGAGGTCGCGTAATTTTGTTACAACAATGCTTATAAATTAATTAAGCTAAAACAAAATATTCTCTGACATTATTGTTGGGTAAAACATTGCTAGACTAGATCTACTGATCTCATAATTTTGCCTGATTGTTAACGACCTAATGCATTTCAATTCATCGTTCTTTTTCCCGACCGTGTGCTGCACAATGAATGCAATGAGACTTTATCGCTGTTGCCACAAAACCACAGAATAATTGCATACACATAGTAGTCCAGGGCCAAATGTCGTCTCGTGTGTTATGAGTGAAGATTGTTGACGACCTATTTCATTGCATACTTCTTTAGTAAAGGTTTCTGAAAAACATTGTTGCCGATTCTTTCTTTCATTGTTTTCAAGGTTAATCAGTGAAAGTCGTACATTTTAAAGGCTTGTGGTGCTAAAGAGGTAATATTTTTTTATAAAATCAACTCCTGATGTCAGGATTAGTAGAACATTTACTGTGGAGATATATAATATGACTTTAAAGAGATATTCATACACATGACCTGACAGAACAATAATATTGGCCATTACAGGTCATTAAAATTACTTAATGACGTCCGATCAATGTACTGGC